AGGATCTGGTTTTGTTGAGATTCACACACTGATTGTGGTGTGTGTGTGTGTGTGTGTGTTTGTACTTGACCAGACAGCAGATGCACACGCACACAGTAGTGCAGTGCCAGATCAGTGCTGTGTGTAATAAGCCCAGCAGTGCTTATGTGGATGAGTGTGTGTTGGCGCTGATTGTGTCCTCTTCACATCCGTTCCTCCACTCTTCCAGCACCTGACTGCCAACACTCATTTCAGTCCCCAATTTGAAGACATGTTGTGATGGATCCGTGTCAATATCGGGATTCTGATAACACCTGGTTTGGCCTATACATCCTTTAACATATCTCAGCTCTGGAAGGGTCTAGAGCCTCCAGTTTTGCACTCAAGTCTAAGTCTCATGGCCCTCTATCAGAATCCAAGGTTTCAAGAAGATCAGAGAAACTCAAAATTTCAACCAAAAAAAAAAAAACCGACAGTGGTACCCGTTTCGTTTTTTTGGGGGGGGAGAAAATTAAGTTTCTCCTATCTTATCAAAACTCTGGATTCTGATAGAGGGCCATGAGACTTAGACTTGAGTGCAAAAATGGAGGCTCTAGACCCTTCCAGAGCTGAGATATTGATATCCCATGTAGCATTTATGCCATTATAAATATCTCAATATCTCAGCTCTGGAAGGGTCTAGAGCCTCCATTTTTGCACTCAGGTCTAAGTCTTTATATTTCTTGCTTTATATTTTGCGGTGAAGTTTGACCAGGATCTGGTTTTGTTGAGATTCACACACTGACTGTGGTGTGTGTGTGTGTTTGTGCGTGTGCACCTGCTGTCTGGTCAAAATCACAGTAGTGCAGTGCCAGATCAGTGCTGTGTGTAATAAGCCCAGCAGTGTTTATGTGGATGAGTGCGTCTTGGCGCTGATTGTGTCCTCTTCACATCCGTTCCTCCACTCCTCCAGCACCTGACTGCCAACACTCACTTCAGTCCCTAATATGAAGACATGTTGTGATGGATCCGTGTCAATATCGGGATTCTGATAACACCTGGTTTGGCCTATACATCCTTTAACATATCTCAGCTCTGGAAGGGTCTAGAGCCTCCAATTTTTCACTCAGGTCTAAGTCTCATGGCCCTCTATCAGAATCCTTAGACTTAGACCTGAGTGAAAAAATAGAGGCACTAGACCCTTCCAGAGCCGAGATATTGAGATCCCACGTGGCATTTATGCCATTATAAATAACTCAATATCTCAGCTCTGGAACAGTCTAGAGCCTCCATTTTTGCACTCAGATCTAAGTCTCATGGCCCTCTATCAGAATCCAGAGTTTCAAGAAGATCAGAGAAACTCAAAATTTCGACCAAAAAAAAAAAAAAAAAACGACAGTGGTATCCTTTTCGGGGTTTTTTTTTTTGTTGAGACTGAGACTTAGACCTGAGTGCAAAAATGGAGGCTCTAGACCGTTCCAGAGCTGAGATATTGAGATATTTATAATGGCATAAATGCTACGTGGGATCTCAATATCTCGGCTCTGGAAGGGTCTAGAGCCTTCATTTTTGCACTCAAGTCTAAATCTCATGGCCCTCTATGAGAATCCAGAGTTTTGAGAAGATTGGAGAAACTTAATTTTCACTCCCCTCCCAAAAGAAAGAAAGGGGTAACAC